ATTAATTATATAACTTATATTATATAAATATACAATATCTATATTAGTATATTACTACTATAGTATATTAATATATTATTATTATTATTTTATTATATATTATAATTTATAAAATTTAATGTTTTAAAATATAATAAATTTTTTATTATTTTATATTTCAAACAATAACGATTCAAACACGAACGAACGCATCACTGTTCGTGTTTGGTTCGTTTAACTAACCGAACGAAAAAATTTTGTTCGTGTTTGTCTCGTTTACTTATCGAACGAATCGAACACGAACTCATTGACGAACCGAACACGAACTGTTCGCGAACAACGAGCTTTTTTGACAGCCCTACTTCCTATGAATTTATATATCTAACGTCTAAACTTTGCTTTTTTATATTTATACCACCAAAATATTTCATATCACATAAAAATACCACCATTTTAACATTTAAAAAGTGAAATGCACCTTTTCATGCATGGATAAGGTGATATGTATGTAAAAACTGAAGTTTATGTGTTAGATATGTAAATACATTAGAATTGAGTGGTATGTATGTAGATCTTCAAATATTTTAATACAGTATTCTTTTTCAGCGAGTTGTATCCATAGTTTGAATTTAGACCAAACTGTGTTTTATTGATGAATAGATGTAATTATACAATGGTTGTAGGTTAAGGGGACAGATCGAGGAGTTCTGCTTTCAAAAGATGGACATAGAGAGGTATCTGATGTTGCACAAAAGCTGCAGAAGTATTGTGTTAGTGAGCCTGTTAAATGTCCTTTGATATTTGGAGGTAAACTTTACACCAAGTTTTGCATGCATGCCTCTCAATTCCTATGTATTTACAAATTTAGCACCTAAACTTGATTTTTTTCATTTATACCACCTAAATATTTCTTGTCACATAAAACATTCCGCACTTTTTAGTTTTGAAAAGTGAAATAGACTTTTTTGCATGCATAGATAAGGTGACATATATAAAACATGAAGTTTATGTATTAGATATGTTAATACATAAGATTTGAGTGGTATGTATGTAAATTTTCTTTTTTTTTTTAACGGTCAACTTCATGATAAGTTACTCTTCGTGATCCTTTTATCGGCATATAATCCGCCTTACCATGCATAAAAAGGCACATTTCAATTTTTAAAAGTTAAATTAGTGGTATTCTTGATGTGTTATAAAAGATTTGGGTCGTGTAAATGTAAAAAGGTTGGGTGATAGATATGTAAATACATAGGAATTGGGTGGTATGTATGTAAATACCCACCCCCCCAAAAAAAAAAAAGAAGAAAAACCTATTTATGAGGCTGAAACTACTCATTTAACAGAGTGGGATGTGCTATACTGCTCGGTTCCAACATCTCCTGGAGGCGGCTATCGTAGTTCCTTTGGCCGTCTGTTTCTGAATGCAAAAGAGATGGTGCAGGTTGTTGAGGCTCCAAATGTTGTTCTGAACAAAGTTTCTTTCTCTGTTTTAGGCATCTTTGATGGAGCAGTTTCCTTGAAAGGTAAAGTGTAGGGGCTTACTTTTATTTTTATTTTATTTTTTGTGCTTTTATTTTATGAAGATTTACATTCATGCCACTCAATTCTCAAGTATTTTTACGTATATGTAGATGAATAGGTGTATATTGCTTTTTGAAAGTTAAAATAATTGTATTTTTGATGCGATATGAAAGATTTGGGTGGCATGAATGTGAGAAAAGTAAATACATATGAATTGGGTGGTATGTAGGTAAATGCCCCTTTATTTTATGTTTTCAATTGAAATATAATATGTTTGACAATGTTAAATATAAATTAACTTATTTTGAAAAAGACTAAAAAAATAATTATTATTTTGAGTGTTTTTTTAAAAAAAATTTACATTCCGCATAATTCTTATGTTTTTACATGTTTAACTTTGACACTTTCATATTTACATGTGTGGCGCTCAAATGATTAGTTTATTATATTAAAATACCACTATTGCTAAAGTTTTAAATGTGAATACACATTTTCATGCATAGATTTATGACACCAAAATACTATAAATGTAAATATAAAATTTTAGGTAATTGTATGGCATGTATGTAAAATTCCCTACAATTTAATGATGTAAGAAGTTTGGAGCTAGGGGTATAGTTGAGTTAAGCTAGCTATGAGCCTACATGCATAAAAATGGTAATATAAAACACACTTAAAAAATATTATAATCCAATGATTTATATATAATGGTAATGAAAATGTTTAAAAATTTCATCTCTTCTCCTTGTTATAGATTTATTTTCTCTCCTATAATTTTTTTTTTTATTTCTTATAACACCGGCTATGCCCGGCTATGCTAACTAGAGTTGTTATTTGTGTTCAAGCCACGAAAGATATGCATACAAAGTTGTTACTTGTGTTTGAACAAAAGGAGGATTGACCGAGTATCTTCCTATTTCAGTTGGATTACATCAGGGATAAACTTTACGCTTATATCTTTTTGCTTTAATTATGGATGCTCTTAATGGACATTTATAGGAGGATGTATCTTTGTGTATGTTTTTCGCTGATGATATCCTCCTTTTGGATAAGACTAGAGAAAGAGTTGAGGAAAAACTTGAATTATAGAAGTTTACATTAGAGTCTGAAGGCTTTTGTTTGAGTAGATCTAAAACGGAATACATGATATATAATTTTAGTAGCAGTAGATCTAGTTACGGAGTTGTAGCAATGAGTGATCAAATGATTAAAAGAAGTGAACATTTTAGATATCTCAGGTCTAATGTTCAAAGTGATGGTGATATATATAGGAATGTTATTAGTGGAATTCAAGTTGGATGGTTGAAGTGGAGGAATGCATCGTGCCTATTATGTGATAGAAAAGTACCGCTCAAGAATTATGGTCTGTTTGGGACGGCTGCAACTATTTTAAGAAGTAGTTAAAGAAGAAGCTGTTGTTTAAAAAGTTGTGGTGACTATTATAATTTTTTTTTTGAAAAATTAATACCACAGCTTTTTAGCAGCTACCATATGTAGCCATGTATGGTGGAAAAATTCAGGTTTTAACTACAGTTTTTTGAAAACGAAGACATAATGCAGTTGTTTCAAACAAAAAAAAAACTACATTGCGGCACAGCACTGCCACTCCAAACGCGCCGTTAAAAGAAATTTTTATAAGATGGTGATGAGACCTACGATACTTAATGGCGCAAAATGTTGGCCTATAAAAGATAAGCATAAAACTAAGGGTTTATTTGGGGTGGTTGTAGCTATTTGAAGAAGCAGCTGCTGAAGTTGCTAAAGAAGAAGAAGTTTAAAAATCTACGGTGACTATTACAAAAAAAAGATTGAAAAAGTTAGACTGCATCTTTCTAGCAGCCACTGCAGGTAGTTAGATCTGGTGAGAAAACACAGTTTTTAGTTGCAGTCTTTTGAGAACACAGACAAAACACAATTTTGCTAAAAAGAAAAATTGTGGTGTGGTACCGCACTGTTGCCCCAAATGCACCCTAAGTTAAGTGTTTTTTAGATGAGAATGCTTAGATGGATGAGTGACTTGATACTTAGAGACAAAATGCAAAACACATGCATTCGTGAATCCATAGCTGCAGACGCAAACAAGATTAAAGAGAGTCATTTTAGATGGTTTGATCACATTAAATGTCAGTCATCTGATGATCCAGTTAGGAGAGTAGATGTTTTAAATTTTACTTTTATTAAGAAAGGTAGAGATAGACCTAAAAAGCTTTGGGCATGTTGTATAAAAAATGATCTTAATTTATTAGAATAAAATGAAAATTTGACACTGAATAGAACACAATGGAGAAAAAGGATTCGTATAGCCGGCCCCACTTAGTGGGATAAAGGCTTGTTGTTATTGTGGCAATTTTATTTTTATTTTATATTTTTCATTTTCAGGTAAGTTGAAAGTACTTGATGAGAAGTGGATCCAAGTGATATTTGAACCCCCTGAATTGAAAATAGGGTCTCTGGGCTTCCAATATGGTGGTGAGAGTGAGGTTAAACTTGAAATTACTTATATTGATGAGAAAATTAGATTAGGAATGGGCTCCAAAGGCTCCCTTTTTGTCTTTTTAAGAAGAGGTTAATAAACCTCTATTATTCTCTCTCTCTCCATTTTTTTCAAGCTGAAACTGTTCCTTCTGCTGTGTGTACTAATTCAATAATAGCTCTTTTGTTGCTGATTTGAGGCTTGGTGTTCATTTTTTTTGTTGGAAGCTTTACATAGATAGCACTTAATTTTTATGTATTTACATACTACCACCTAAATTTTAATTTGTACATGTATGCCACCATATCTATGGATGAAAATGTGTATTTCACTTTGTTAAAATAGTGATATATTTTATGTGTGTAAATACATAGGAATTAGGTGGCATGTATGTAAATACCCTTTTTTTTATTGATGTTTCTATTTAGAATTTGGCATATTTTTTTTTTCTGAAAAAATGTAATTTTGCTATTTTTTGTGATATTTATGCACATTATGCCAAACATTTCTTATAATTAATGGGCATTCTCCAAGTAGTGTTTCCCATTAGTGATCTTCCTAGTGGCAGCCAAAAAAATAAAAAATAAATAAATAATAATCAACTCAAAAAATTAAATAAAAAGGGCAAAAGATAAGACTAAAGATTGGTTTGATTTTGATTTTGATTATAAAATTCAATAAATTGATTAATATAGGTTTGCTTAGCTCTATATTTCATGGCTCATGACTTTTTAACACACTTATTTAAAGGCACTGTTTAATAAAGTATCTGACATAAATTATCTTATTTCATCATAACATCTTATTTTACCACTTTATTTATGCATGAAAATATGTATATCACTTTTTAAAATTTAAGATAATAATATTTCTGATGTGACATGAAAGTAATCATTATAAAAGTAAAAAAAAAAATAAAATAAAATTAGTTTTAGATATGTAAATACATAGGAATTTGGTGGTATGTAAATGACCACTAGAAAAAATTGAAAGGTACAACACCCTCAAAGAAAATTTTAGATAAATGCATAACCAAAAAAGGGATTAAAAAATAAGAAAAATGGGCTATAATAGACATACATGAGCAAAGTTTTATCATAATATACGAAGGGATTAAAAAAATAAGAAAAATGGGCTATCATAGACATACATGAGCAAAGTTTTATCATAATATACATGCTAAAATAAATAACAAAATTTGCTGTCCTTTTTTGCATTTTCTAATAATAAACAACATGAAGGGGTGAAATAAGATAAAATAAAAAAAAAATAAAACTAAGGTTGTCATCAATTGAAAAGAAAAATAAATAAATAAACTTAAAAAAAGAAAAAAAAAATATGAGGGAGAAAGGTAACTATCATATTAGTAGCTAGTTCAGTGCTGCTGAATTAGCATTCTCCTCTCAGAATCTGAATTTGGGGAAGTCAAGATGAAGGTCTATGCTTCCAAAAGAATAATGAACGCAAAGGAATTTTTCATAATTCTGTGTAAATAGGAAACAAATTTAATAGCTTTTCAAGAGTTTCGGGGTAGAATTTACGAGCAAACAAGTAGCATGGTCTCCTCTTTCCATTCCATAAGCAAGGCTTTATCTGCTCTACTTTCTGCAAATAAGAAAAAAAAAAACATAATATGTAAAATAATGTGTTATATAAAAGAATTGGGGCATTTACATACATACTCCAATTCATATGTATCTAATCTTTGTTTTTTTTTACGTATATACCACCAAAATCTTTCATATCACATCAGATATAAAAAAAAAAAAGGTGAAATACACAGTTTCATGTGTAGATAATGTGGCATGTGTAATAATTGAAGTTTCGGTGTGCAAATAGATAGGAATTGAATGGTATGTATGTCAATGTTCCAAAAGAATTTTTACTGAAAACTCGTGTAACTACACCGGGAAAGGAAAATGAATCATAGAAATAGGAATAGCATTTTATGAATAGATTGAATCACAAAAAAAGTCTAGTGGACTATTTTGGAGTTCTTAATAGTGCTTTTGCACTACCAAAAAATTGCTTTTGCATTAGATTCTATTACAATTGATACATGATGTTGTATAGGGTAAATTTATGTACTTTAATCTAATAAGTATTCTTATTATATATGCACTGTGGCATCTGCGAAGTCAGTTCTAAATCCCTTAGGATCACGGGTTCTAGCCAGCCTAAATACATCTGCCTTGCAACGCGGGGTCGAGTGGTTAGGCACATGAGGATGTCTGGGGGCTGATATCATAGCCTCCGACCATTCTTTAAAAAATAATAAAATAATAAAAAATATTGCTCAGCATCAAATTCTTGTATAGCTTCGCCTTTCCCTCGGTGTTACTAGAAAGCAAATCCATACCAGGGAAACTATGTATATCGATGCAAAAAATGATGACAATATGAGCTTCAGGCAAAAAATCATAGGATTCAAATATGAACTGGTAGAAATGTACAAAACAAGTTTAAGAATATTATTACCTTGTCATCACTTGTGACATGATAATTCCAATCAACAGACTGCAAAAGAAAAATGAAATGTAAAACTTATACAGCAACAAATCCAATCCAAAATAAACAAAAAAAAAACTTATACAGCAACAAATCCAATCCAAAATAAATTTGCAAATTATAAATGGAGCAGAAAATAGTTTACTGTAATATTCTTCAAGAGCTCATAGGTGACATCTTCAAGCTGGTATGCTTTTGGATGCCATTTTCCTTCAGACCAATCAACATGAGTGATGGACCAATTTGCTATACCAACAGGATCAATCATCTAAAAGTTTCCCGAAGGTTAGTTCCATGGAGCAAGCAAATTTTAAAAAAATGGGGGCATGTACATACATAGCATACAATTCTTATGTATTTACATTTCTGACCTAAACTTTTTTTATTTTTATTTTTTCACATTTAGCACTAAAATCTTTAATATAAAATCCAAAACAGCACCATAAATACTTTTTAAAATTTAAATACACATTTTAATGCATATGTTTAAAGCATTAAACTGATATGTATGTAAATATTAGTTTACGTGTGAGATACGTAAATACATAGAGTTGTGTGTTATTTATATAATTTCCCATTTAGTGAGTAGAAATTAAACTTATAAAATGATAAGCCTTTGCCTAAATAGATGGAAAAAACAACATTTGATACCTAGAAAAAGAGTTAAAAGGACTTGTGAGATTACATAGAATAGAGTTGGCAAATAATGTTCGTCGGCGTAGCAATTGCGTCCTTCAATGCCAGGCTGCAAAAAACAACAAAGAAAGCAACAAAAGTAGTTCATTTATACGAGATTTAGCTCCTCAATAGTTCTTAGGTACTTGAGCTCTAAAGTTGAGGGAAAAAGGATGGGCTCCATACAAATTCATTAGTACTGACTAAACAAGATATAAATCAAACAGTTTCTAGAAGACTCCAAACTAAAGTTCTATTTATGATGGCTAATGGTGGTCGTAAAGTTGTGGTGGAGAAAACAAGAAATTTGCAGTGTGAATTATAATTTTATTTTTAAAAAAATTCAAACAACAATTTTCTTACAACCAACATACCATACAAATCTGGTTGTAAAAAATAATTTCTTTATCACAAAAATTTTTTAGAAAGCAGCAAGAAAGCAGTCCCCAAACAGAACTATGATGGTGGTCTGAAATGCAAAGCAGGCATAAATCTGTCCCAAACGGACCCTAAAGATGATATAAAATTTTGTAGACCTGAGCCCAAGTAGATTTATAAAGTCATGTCATTGGAGGGAGCTTCATAGTCACAAGAAAGTACGAATCCAACCATGGAAAAAGTGATCGGCAAGAAAAGCATGCTAAACAAGACTGTAACTTGTGTGCATATGTGAAATGGGAAGCAGATTAACATTATATTCCAGTAACATAATAATTTTGGAGTCAATTTAAATCTTTGCTTAAAGATACAAATACAAAAGAGCAACACGGCAGAAAGTGAAACCAACAAACAAAAATTGATGCAAAAACATGGTCGACTCTTTCTTGATGTGAATGAAATGAGAAAATGATGACTTTAAATCCATGCTATGTTTGGCTTAAATTTTATGTTGATTTATGCTGTATGATGCTTGTTTCATTGTACGCATTTAAATTAATTTAAATGTTATAGTCAATATAAAGTTAATTATTTTTCATTATTTATGAACAACTAAAATCAATGATTTTGGGAGAGAATTTTCTTGTTCACTTTTATTTGTAAACATGTGGCTATCAGGCAACGGATCAATTCATCTCCCCCTAAAAAAAAAAAAGCTGTAATTTTGACTGGCCCACAAAAATTTTGAGTCATCTTGTGCTGTTTGATCTATCTATGTTACTAAATGGAGATCTATCAAATTCCTTCTTGATAAGTGCTTTCATTGTAAACATATTGGATTTTACTAAGATCTAGTACTTCCTACTCAGAATCCGCTTCTGTAATGTTGATAAATGGCAATTCGAGGATGTTGGCAACTTCCAAAAAAAAAAAAAAAAAAAACTACCTAAGAGAGAAAACTAACAAGTAACTACATTTTTTTCATTCCATTCCTCAATGTGTTCCAATAAGAACTATTTATAGAATAAAAGTGATGGGAAACTCTATTAACTAGTAATACTAATTAACCTAATACAAGATATTAAGTAATATAGTATCCTATCATTACTCCACCCTACAAAAGAACCTTGTCCTCAAGGTCAAACAAGTCCCAGAAAAATGAGTAGAAATGACAGTGTTAAAATCAACCAACATTAACTACAGAGTGTGGCAAAGATTTATTCTTGATTCAATTTCTTGGTCGAAGAAAACAGAAAGTGAGATATTAAGTGATAAATTTATCATATGCAAGAAGCACAAGTCACAGAACAATCTAATAACGACATCTGATAATTTGATGTTTCAACTCCATTTGCAGATCCATACTAAATTCCAAGAGGCTTCTTGCAAGCTCATGGCCTTCATTAGTTTTGTCCTTGGATTCCATAGAAAGCTTCTGAAGAAACTCTGTTCTTGAATAAGCAACAACAATTTCTTGCAGAACTGTAAGAACTAATAGTTTTGGAGTGTCAGGCGACGGTCGGAGAAGGTGCTTGCATGACTGGGAAATCGGATGGCAGGCATCCTGAGAGCAGCAGTTGTCGGAAGAAATTCTACGGATTTTGCCGATAAAGAACAGAATAGTGATGAAGAGGGAAGGATGGTGGTCAATGTGGTGAGATTTGCTATCGCGAGATAATGAATTGAGTGTGGGAATGGTCGGGGTGATTCACGGAGAGGTGTTTGGATCTTTCAAGGTTGAGATGGAATCTTTTGAATTCTTAGTGGCTAGCGGTGAAAACAACAGGCTTTCGGCGAATTAGCTGGCCGGCGACATGGAAGGATCTAATTTAGTTGATTTTTTATTATTGCTAACAATGGCGGATGATGGATCATGAACAGGACAATGAAACTATTGGCTTGGCAGCAAAATCTTGAACGGGGATGGTTCTTGGACTCGGCTAATGGGAGGAATAAACAAAGGAGCTTGGACAGGGAGATGTGGCGGTGGAGGGAGAGGGCAGATGACAGTGGGGAGAAGAGTACGGCAACAAGAGCGCCTTTGATGCGAACTTGCTTTTTTAATATTCATAAATGACAAATCGAGGATGCGGGCAACTCCCAATATGAGAAAAGAAATAACACTACCTAAAAGAAAGAACTAACAAGTAACTATATTTTTTCATTCCATTCCTCAATGTGTCCAATAAGAACTATTTATATAATAAAAGTGATAGGATACTACAACAAGAGAATCAATCTATTAACTAATCACACTAATTAACCTATAAAAGATATTACGTAATATAGTATCCTATCAGAACCACACACAATATCTATCCTTGAAACGTAATGACAATGAGCCCCTGCTTACCAATAACAAACTGTGCAGCTCCTCACAACAGGTTCATTTTCTCTTACCCACAATAATCTCCCATCCCCGCCAACCACTTGATTTGGACCGATGGGATTGTAATATTCATTTTCTTAAATATTATGAAAAGAAATTCCTAATCAAACACATGAATATTTTCTAGCATGGTTATTCAGTCACCTGACCCAAAAAGCATAAGGCTTTCATTATCATATGATATCGGTGCATAAAAATAAACAGTGTTCTTGTTCTATGCATCTGCCTATTTTCAAAGTATAATTAACCCATTCTAAAAAGGAAAATTCTTTAAATTACCTTGCAATGAAGTTTGAATTTTGTGTAATACAGGCTATCCGCCAAGATTAACAAAGCGTGCTGCCGCTTCACTGAGAACCACTGCAAGTAAGTATAACGCTTCCACTTAGGAAATGAACAAGTAGAACTTCTCATATGCATCAAAAGAAAGCACCTTTTGAAAAATACTTCTTAGCATGAACAAACAAAAGATGCAGAGCATAGAATGTGCTGTTTATCAACTAGAATGAGAAATAACTAGAACATTGAGCTCAAGTATGGAAAACAAAAGCAAAAGCAACAAAATGCATCCTAATGCATCCTATATATCCATAAAATTATGATAGGAGGATTGTTTTCTTTTCGATTTATTCTTCTTTTTATTTTATCTCCTAAGGATGGGAATTTTTATGGCAGATGAGCTTTTAAAATAAGAGATTATGTCGTAGTATGCTTTTTTTAGTTTCTAATGCTATTCCTTTAAGGGTCATTTACAAACATAGCACGCAATTCTTATGTATTTACACATCTCACACCTAAATTTTTATATTTACACACACAGCACTCAAATCTTTAATATCACATCATAAACAACAGTATTACCATTTTTAAAAGTGAAATTCACTTTTTTCGTGCATAGGTTTAAAACAACAAAGTACTATGCATGTAAACATAAAAGTTTAGGTGTGAGATATGTAAATACATAAGAATTGTGTGCTACGTATGTAAATTTTCCTTCCTTTAATTATCATCTCTATAGCAGAATAACAGAACATACCTGTGCACCCTTCCTGAAGCTGCTCTCCTCAATCTCAGGCATCATGTGTGCAGAATACCTACCAGTGCCGAGTGGTCCGGGATCTTCAAAACTAGAAAAAGAGAGACTTCGGTCAGAAAAATTCGGTAAACCTACTTTTAAACATGGGAGAATAGTTTCCCAAGAAACTTATGAAGTCAATGAGTTTGTAGCTTAAACCTAAAGGGTTCTTTGGTAGTATCTTTTTTAATAGGATTTATGCTTAATTTAGCGCCATAACGTAAATTCAACCAAACAGATAAATATTGCATGTCAAATCTGGCGATGATTAAATCCGAATTTCTTCTCATTTCATCCATAAATCCGGGTTTACTAAATCTAGTAATTTGACAGATTTGATAAATCTCAATTTATAGGATTTACTAAATCTAATTTCAGCCAAACAGCCCCTAATTGTCAGTTTTAAATCAGCTGACACGATTCAATTTATTGAAAAAAATTGCACTAAACCTTACCAATCAATAAAGCTCACATTAGTGAGCATTAGATAATTGTACACATACTCAAAACTATGCAGTGGAATGCAGCTGTAGCACAAGCAAAAAAAAAAAAAAAAAAAAAAAAGAGGATTAGGAAAAGTAGAGTGAAGTGGGATGAAATATAGTTTATGAGCTAAAAAACTAAAATACTTTAATCTATCACCTGTCTGAAAGTAACACAAATTGTTGATTATCTACGTCTTGCAAAGCATTTGCCAAAAGTCTTCTCTCAGCATCAACCATCGAGATTTTTCCCCAAACCACCTGCACATATTTGTTTGCATTTTATTGGTTTGTGTCTTCCAAATCTCTTTCCACAAGTAGCAAACCACACTTCAATTGTAACTTAGAAAGAAAAATCACTAATAGATCTTGAAACAATCAATTACTTGAATGAAGAAAACAATAAATGAGAAAAGTGTCGAAAATGCTCCCCTGACAATAATTTGCAAGGAGTTTGTTTAGTCCCAAAGTCTATTAAAGTGCAATTTATTCCCAGACTCTTTTAGTTAAAGCTAAAAAAGTCTTCCTTTGGGTTTATTTTAGCCCATATTAAAAGAGTATACAGAGTAATTTAAGACTTTTATAGATTTCAAGACTAAAATGGCCCTATTTAAGTAGTCTGGATTATTTTGACGTTTTACTTAAAAAAAGGATAAACACTTAAATAATAATGTTATTCCATGAGTTGAGAAAATGTTTAACCATGACAAGTGATAATAAAAAGTTAAGAACTTCTGGAAATGAAGATTTACATCTGACTACAAAAAAATCATGCTTGGATGGACAGAATAAAAATTGAAACTTCCACAACATGATCACAAGCTTAACAAATAATGATTCAAGACTCTCATTAGGCTATTTTAGATATTAATACTTTTTATTCTTCATCTTCCTTAAGTGTCTTGGCCGCAAAAAATAAAAGGAAAAACAAACTACCCCTATCCAACAAAATGATACTAGTACAATGTATGTATACATATACATGTATGTATGTGTATATATGTGTATGCGCGGTCTTAATGCAATTTGATTTCATTCAGATTTCCCTTCAAAATAAGCCAAAGTGCAATTCGGTGACATTTCGGCCATTAAAAATTTCATGCTCTTCTTTTGCATGTATTGAAATGTCAAGATTTTGAAGAGACCGAGAATTAATATAAATAAGAATAAGTGAGGAGAATAACAAGCGTGGAAGCAAAAGTTCCATGGATACTACCAGAAACAGATAATGCAGGATGAGGCTCCAGATAAAAAAAAGCTTTGAAATCTTCGCATCGAAAAGCCAGCCATTTTATTGATGAAATTTGTGTGCATTACAATAAAAAAAGAAGATATTCATCTTGTTAAGCCTTTAATTAAACCAAACTACAACTCGTTAGCACAATGTCTCATCCATAAATTTTGATAAATGTATCACCAACAAGAATACAATTTTTTAGCAATTTTTAAAGCTATTTGTGGATAAAGATACATTACATATGCAGAGTCATGACCATTTTTTTGCATGTCACACAGACATATAACATAAATGCTGACTATTATTCTTTAAGAATTAGGGCAGTATATATACATAGACTTCAGAAAGGCATGTTCAAGTAAATAAATAAAGCATAACAACTTAGAGAATGTGGTTTAGAAACCTTTGCGCTATGAATATCTCTTCCAATGAAAATGGGGCTAATGTGTACTGGCTTTTCTCTAGATGCATGTACATAAATGGAATATTTACCCTCATGGCCCTGTTAGATAAATATTGGAAAAGACAAATGAGGCAAAGCATACATACAACAAAAGCTATAATAAGTAAAACAGTAAGAAAATAACATATTAAACAGATAATTTTGAAAATATGATGCATGGCTTTATTTTCTAATTCCAAAATCACACATGAGCAATAAAATAAAACACCTCTATACCATATAAAGAAGGGGCATTTACATGCATAGCACACAATTCTAATGTATTAACATATCTCACACCTAAACTTCCATATTTACAGACATAGCGCGCAAATCCTTAATATGCTATGTATTTCAATATGAAAATTTAAGTGTGAGATATGTAAACACATAAGAATTGTGTGTTGGGTATGTAAATTTCCCTAAAAGTAAACCAGAAGATTCAGATTCACAAATTAAATTAACACTATCTAACGGTTTATCAAACAACAATTACTATATATATACACTAGGCCCAACCTCAAAAAATTTCTCCCAGAGCTTTTCAAAAGGCAACGAACCAGGAGTTAAGAACATGAAAGCTATCTTCGGAACGATCACTTCGGCAAGTGGCATCGACAGTATGTCTTTGAAAACGACGCGAGAAGCAACTTCTTCATCAGTAAGGACTCGAGAGTTTATGGGAGGAAACCAATCCTTGAACGGGCTACAAACGCTGGAGGCGAAGAAGTAGCAGTCGGAGTAATGCCGCGGAGGATATATGTAAGCAACAATCAATGAGGCACAAACCAGAGAAACCAAGACGATAATCCATATCGGCCTTCCTGATGCTGGTCTGGAGCGCAAAACAGGCATGCTTTGCTTATCCCAAATGCCTACTTCCCAGACTTTGTGAGATTTCATCTATAGGGCATTACTACATATATTTTAGAATTTATATGTGAAATCCCTTCTAGCCTGTAGAGCTGCCAATGATCGTCAGCACGATTTAGTCACTCGCTAATATGCAGAATAACAGTCAAATTTGAACCCAGAAAAGAAATCAAGAGTTGAATCATCTAATATTGCAAAGACGATAAATAAATAACTGGAAATAATAAAAAAGAAACAAGACAAATGAAAGGAATTTTCGTGCCGCAATTTGCAAGTAGAACAAAATAAAAATATTATTCCCCATACCCATTTGTCTCATCTGTCTTCCTCCCCGAATCAGACTATAATAAATGTACCAGAAAACATACACCAACAACCTAACTGAAAATCCATCCATAAACTGAAAGCTAATAAACACCCAACAATAATCAAACAAAATGCCGTCTCCTTATTCCTCATGGATCCTCCTCAGAATCAAACCATCACTTCCGATCACCGAGGCCACAAACCCAAAACTATTGAAAACCTCCAACCTCATCCAACCCGTCCCAGCATCATCCAGAACATGGAAGCAAATGGGTCCACGGGAATGCTCCGGATCAGCCGGAATCCGCCTGCTCCGGCGACCACGAGCTAACAGCAGCTTCTAGATGTAGATAGAGAGAGAGAGAGGAGGAGGAGGAGGAGGAGGTCGTGGTGATCGCTCAATACCTGGTATGCGCCGACGAGGCGGAGAGCGACAGAGATCGCCTGATCGTTAGATCTGGAAGGTGGACGTAAGGGAGACCGAGTGGAGGAAAATAATACGACCGGAACTGCTGAAAAGGAGAGTTGGGATTATTATTTATTATATATTTATCTATATATAAAGACACCTAATTATATGCATAGATTCGAGACAAAATATTTACTTTTATAGCTTTTATTGGGGTGCTTTTTTTAATTATATGTTCCTCGTTTTCGTGTCGCTGGGTTGGTGGCTGTCCGAATTTGTCGGAGTTCCGCTTCATTGCTTGAGGCGGCAGTTTTTATACATACATAGATGTATATCCATACATACATATACATACTTATATATATATATATATATATGAACAAATATTGCATGAGGAAATATTTGTTTATATAATCACGTCACGTGGACACGTGGAGATGACAGAAAAAAAAATTAGCCCGATAGCACAGGGGAATATTCCTCTCGTGTTATTCAGCTATTGTATGTTATTCACGTGTTATTGTGCTCTGGGAATATTTTTGGTGTTATAATAACACAATAATACATCACTAACACTTGAATAACACATAATAACATCTGAATAACATAAAATAACACTTGAATAACGAGAGAGAAATATTCTCTTGTGTTACCAGACATATTTAATTTTTTTTCTACCATCGCCACGTGACGTGATTTCATTGGACTCCGTACCTAACTCTACGTGTGGAGTCCTG